CAACTACATATGTGTATGTACAGCCACACACATATACATGTACATATATATAAATACATTTTATATATATATATATATATATTATTTCATTTCCATTTTGTATGTTGAAGTACTGAAATAACTCAAAATAAATAAAAGTAAAACTTAATAAAAAGCCTATATAGACATAATTAAAAAAAACTAATAAAATTACAACATTACTACAACTGTAACTAAAACTAAAATAGATAACTAATACAAATCAAAGTACATTAGTTCATCACTAATCCTAAAAAAATAACACTGAGACAAACACACATGCTAAAATAACAACAACTTACTGACACATAGTAAGAACTAGATTATAAAAAACTGAAACAAAAGTGGAAAGAGGAGAGAAAAAAAACGATACTTATCCTTTGCCGGTGTCCCTGCCCGGTGGAGTCGCACGGTAGAGTCGATGGTCTTTACACTCTTCGGTCTTCACACGATCGCAGCCGCGACCGCTTCCGCGGTAAACTATGCTTCTTTTTAATTCGTTTAACAAAACTCAAATTACATATTTATTATATATAAATAAAAATTATTAATATAAATTTACATATTTAACCAATATGTCGCCATAGACAATATCTCCCTTACTGTATGTACAGTACACAACTATTTTCTATTTTACTATTTTATAATTCACCAAAAGTTTTCTTTTCATGTTCCAAATGTTGTAGTACATTTGTAGTTACAAGACTGACTTACTACAGGCAAAAGTTTGCCAATATCACCCTTACTGTACATACAGTACATAATTAATCTGCAAAAACCAGTACTGTAATTGACCAAAAGGGTTTTTTCATGTTCCAAAGGCTGTAGTACATTCCTAGTGGCCAGACTGACTTACTAAAGGTGAAAGTTTGCTAATATCACCCTTACTGTACATACAGTACATCATTAATCTGCAAAAACCAGTACTGTAATTGACCAAAAGGGTTTTTTCATGTTCCAAAGGCTGTAGTACATTTGTAGTTATGAGACTGACTTACTACAGGCAAAAGTTTGCCAATATCACCCTTACTGTACATACAGTACAT